GTAAAATCAGGCGAAGCCGGGCGGGGTGTGGCAAATAGACGCAAAAAACGCATGGGTCCAACCACTTCGGCTGCAGGGAGGAGGATTAGGTGGAGGGTACTTGAGGTAACCCCCAAGACGCCTGGGCCGGAGGCCTCGGCGGATCTATTTTTTCTTGTCTTTCATCCTCGACCTGGCTTTGAAGCCTAGACTGAACATGCCCGCAACGAAGCGAGGGATGCCAGTATCTGCCATGTCCTTACTCCTGGCGTGCCGGGGTCTTTACGGTGCTGAGGCGACCGTTTCACACGCGATCGCATGATTGCGACAGCCCCGAAATGTGTGCGTGCAAGCGTGTTTGTGTTTTTGTTCAGCGTGGCTTGCAGAGCTTTCGCAGAGCTCAGGCGAAGGAGCGACGCATGGACCCTGCCACCACCAACGTGGAGGCAAAACGGTTCGTAGCGACGTAGCGAAGCGCGAGCCGCTTTGGCTCTCCCCGATCAGGCGCTGCCACCGCTGTCTCGACACAAGCTTTGGAAGCCGCTTGGATTGCTGCGGCTTCGCATGGCTTCGCGCTGCCGCGCTCATGCTATCGCTCGCTGGCTTTTTCGTTCCTCTTTGTTTTAGGCTGCAGCATGGCAAGCGCATCCGCAAGCCCATGGATGTGTTGGGGGAGCGGCGGCGGCTGACCCCAGGGCAGCGCAAGCGGCGGAAGAAGCCCTGAACCCAGCCTCGGCTTCCGTTGTAGAGCTCAGCGGCCGTGGGGATGGCAAACGTGTGGAGGTTTGGCTGATCCATCCACAGACAGAAGCGGTCAAGACACTGAAGATGATAATGCATTAGCCATGTCTGGACATGGTTCCTGCCTTGGCTGTGTCAATCTAGCTGCTAGCTGCAGTGGGCATGCATTGACCGAAAAGGGCTCTCAAAGAGCGCTTCTTGGTCGTTTGCATTCTAAGACCCGTGCGGCCTGACAGACTGACAGCCGAAAGATGGCACTCAGCAGCTCCATGCAAAAGGATCCGTTTGCACGCTAGAGCGCAGGCAGCTGCAAGCGAGCTGTGAGAGAGCCTCTTGGCTCGAATCCCTCCACCCTGCTTTGACTGCTCTCGAGGTTGGCACAGCTACCACAGTTTGCCTGTCTCTGTCGCCGCCATAGATGCGGGCCCTGGTATGTGGCTTGTAAACAATGGTGGCGGCAGGCCCGAGCTGCCAGTTCTTGCACACTATTGATGGGATGAGCGTGTGCACCAACGAAACGATCGTGCAGAGGTTGCAGGACAACGGCACGAACTGCGTTGTATTCTCGCCGTCCGGTGCAGTGACTTGCGGGTGCCGCCATGTGCGAAGGAGCATGACGGAGCATTTAGTGGAGCAGACTGCCAGCTTGCGAATGCCGATGAGGTCGGTTGCGAGACTTTCAGCGACAAGCTGCACTGCGTGTGCCAGGGGTGCGAGCCAACAGATTCTAGTTTCCTCGAGCCGCTGGCGAGTGGCGAGGAGCTTTGCACGAATGTGCAGATCCTGCTGCAGCAAAACACTTGCATGACCAAAGTGCACCTGAATCTTACAGGCACTTGCACAGACTTCTGCATGCAGAGAGGCGTTCGCTGCCTATCGGCATGGGTAGTGGAAAACTGCAGTGACAACTTGGATGAGCCTGAGAAGATCCAGTGTGACACAGTTGGAGTGGACAGCGCCCTTGTGTGTGCGTGCTCTTCGACGAGGCTTGCAACTATTTGAGACCATGGAGCCGCATGCAACGTTCAGCCGCTGAAGCAGTCACTGGAAGCTGGAAACGAGAGAGTTGTGACGCTGTCTGGCCAGGAATGCCGTTTGTGTCAATGCGATGGGCTCGGAACTGTGGAAGTCTCGCAGGACAGCAGCAAAAATCTATTGCAACAGCACTGGATTGGACGAGATGCCCACTGCAACCCGAGAATCTGACTAGTCTAGTCACATCTCGCTTCTTCTTGCAGCCCTTGCAGACGGGCGAGGAAGCGTGTAAAGCTGGATTTGTGGTCAGCAGGCTGCAAGAGATAGCGGAACGCAGTGTGTGGCCTATGCATCTCTTGGGGGCACATGGGGGCACCAGATCATTCTCCGATTTTTGTCAAGAGCGTTGGTTAACCTGTACTGCTGCATTAGAGAGCCCAGCAGCTCCATGTGAAGTTTGCCGGAGCCTCTTCAGGACAGGCATGTCAAACTGCTGAGCCGCAAAGGAGTTGGAGTTGCTGCAGTTGCACCAGAGCAGCCATCCTTCCTACAGCGGCAGTGGTATGCGAGAGAAAATGCCGCCAGTGCCTTCCGGTTTGGGCCCAGGCCAAGTGCAAGGGTCCTTGCTTCAGGCCTATTGCTTGGATGCCTCACAGCGGAACTCCAATGGCGGCCTTGTGCACATGTGGCCCTGTGACCCGAGGTTCCAGACTTCTACTTTCTCCCGATGCAGAACCAGGAATGTAGGTATCCTGGGCGGATTCTGGAGAAACCGAGACGCTGGACTTCCAGCGAAGCGCAAACCATTGCCGTGGGCATCCCCGAAACTGTGTACACCAACCACAATGAAAGCAGTTATGGGAGAGGCTGGCATTGCTACCGCAAGGCACCCGGCACTGAGGCTGGTACATTCCGAGAGAGGGATTCCTGGAGGAACTCTAACCCTGCATTGACCACTGTTTACAGCCGTAACTCGCAGAAGCAAAGGGCCATAAACAACGTCTGGAGTTTCCGAAGGCAGGGTTGCAGGCGACGATATTCAGCATCGGAATGTGAGGTGGAACTTCACATCATTGGATACCACTCTGCGGGCCATGGCGCAACAAACCTGGCTGGAGTACGAGACAGCTGGATCCAACAAGTATCCCGGCAGTCTGGATGGAGAGGACGCGATTAGGCTTCGAAGTGGTCAAAGCTTCGAAGACTCCAGATTCCGGATGATGCTTGTCCATGAATTTTGCCACACATGCGGAGGAGCTGGGGGCAACCATCCTGATTTAGTGATCGGTACATCTTCAGGACCTCCCACTGGTCAGCTGGCTCTCGTGGGTGTGGCTTGGGATGCCAGCAAGATTCCATGGATGCTGCGTTTACAAAGCGGGACAACAACCCCCAAGACTAGTTGGCCTTTAACATTGCGGGATGCGGAGTCGACTACAAGCAGGAATCCTGTGAAGGATAGGATATGAGAAGATGCGAACTGCAACATGTTCACAACTTCTAGATCCAAAGAGGCGCCGCATGCAGGTTCTTTCTTGTTCTTGCAGTAAAGCTCCAAGAGCTTTCGGTGCGATTTTCCATTTCTACGAAACCTTCAGAAACTCAGAAAGCGGCTTGTGATCAAGTCCTTCGAAGTGGCACCACAAAGCGTAATTCGCTGCATTTCGTTGCAAATTGCCAATGCAAGCTTCCTGTCGTCGTTGCCATTAGACAGTACCTGTGCAGTGGTGCGTGTTTCCTGTGTACATGTCGGAGCGATCGGAAGCCTAATGCCACAGTGCGCAGTCGTGGGCTCATTGAACTTCCCGCAAATTCTTGGCCGGGCAGCAGGCAGGCGTTTGGCGGCATGCAATTGATCGGGCAGCTTTGTTCCCAATGCGAAACAGGAAGTCACCATGCAGCCGAGGCAGCAAACTGAGACTCGCCCTTTTTTGTCCCGACTCTTCTTGTGTTGAGCCAAAGGTCGAGATCTGTGCGGCACGCACTGAAAACGAAGGATGACCTGGAGAAGGACTTCAAAAGAGCAAACTGCTCTGCCTGCTCAGCTCAAAAACAGCAGGAGCGGCTGCGCCATCGCTCCGGGGGGTTCTTCCGTTATGAGAGCCTCAGCATGGCATTGAGCTACTTCGCAAGTTCTGTCACCCTGAGCCTGCTCCTCTCTCATCGCACTGCTGACTTGCAGCTGATGGCGTTTTTTGCAAGTGAGGAATCGCGACAATCCTATCGATGTCGTCCCGGGCTCAAGACAGGTCAAGGTGTTGCTTCCGTGTAGGGGCATGTCAAGACGCTTCAGGTTCTCAACTGCCCTGGCTACTGTGGACCTCGAGAAAGGATGACTGCCGGACCTCACTGCGAAGAGGTGCAGAAGTTGAGAGATTCGACGGCTGGACACGCCCCGTAACGATTCAGGTGAACTACGCCGAGCGCGAGCACGCCAAGGTGGTTCGAGACGAGCTCACAGAGGCTCCACGAACTTTGGCATGCCGGTGGCTTCAGTGGCTTCCGGCTTATTCGACGATGTGCTTGTCAAGGCCCGCCGCAAAGGCAAGTACGACAGGGAGGAGCACAGATGGCGATGCATTGCCAATGCAGACCAGGAGAGACAAAACAGTTTGGAGTCAGCCTCTATGCCGAGCTTGCTTCTGCCCGCAGGCAGATGTAGACCGAGTTTCGCGCATGCAGCATGATCCCATGATGGGACGGAAGAACGTTTCAGGCCTGTGCTTTAAACGTTTACCCAGCTATTTGGGTTTCGGTTTTGTCGCACGGGCGTGATCAGGCCAGCCTTTCAACATCGTAAACCATTGCCGTCTGCCAAGTTCTGCGCATGTTTAAGGTTAGGTGCCCGTCTTGGAAGTCTGAGGCTATGACAGGACTCCCGCTGGGGCCCAGCTGGAGCACCACGACAACATGATCCGGCATCCCCGAGTCGTTAAGCGGATGCACGGACGTGGTTTCGTTACCGTTAGCTGGTCTAACCCGGTAACGCGACGGGAAACGTTATATGCGTCCTCCAGATGAGCTCGTTTGCTGCCGCGATTCGAGTTCGGAAGCCTCTGGATGCCAGGTACCGCTCGAGGGTGCGGGAGGCTGCATTGGCCATGCGAAATCACTTGGGGCCCGGGCCCCTGAATTCCCGGTGTCTCACAATGCCTTGCCAGTGACTTTTGAGCACGAAGAGCTGCTAGGTTCAATCCCATCATCGGGGAGCAGCTTCGACCTCAGTGGTAAATGATGTGGGTACGTGTGGATGCCAAATCTCGGAGCTCGAACGTGCATCCCTCCTGAGACTCCTGCAGAAACTCATTACATCCCGAGAGAAGCTTCCAAGAGCCAGGAAGAGCGAGGGCTATTCTGTGGCCTGGGCGGGAGAATGTACAAAACTCGCTGTTGGGAGCATCGCATCATAGCAGCGATGAGGCAGCCGCAGCCAGAGCTTGTTCGAGAGAACCGCCACCCGGTCCTACTCGGAGTCGCTGGAGGTAAAGCTGATTCCATTCTGCTGATGCAAGATGTTGCTGCAGAGACCAGCACTCTGCCAGCACGTGGGGCTTCCAGGAGTTTCGCATAACCAGCAAACACAGACATTAAACGGATGATGGCCGGCTGTCGGCAGAATCCTAGACTCAGACTTTGAGCTACTAGTAACTAGTAGTATGATATTCGCTGGTTTCCGGTGAAACATCGAGCACAGAGACGGCGGAATTGATCCCGTCCCAAATTCAAACGGCTCGCGATGGACCGGTTTGAAGAAGCGCAGCCAGGAGGCGAAGGCAGACCCCCAGCTTTTCGCACCAGGGTCAGTGTCCTGAAGCTGTTCCAAGCACTGCTGCATAAGCAAGCGTTCGACGTCTTTGGTCGAAGTGCAATGCCAGTGCAGAACGGTGCCGTTGCTCTGAGCATGGAATGGAATATGGTCTTGCGCTGTTGCATGCCAAGGACACACGGAATTTCACTTCCTCCCCCTCCGCGGCCACCACCCTTGGCTTTGGCCGGGAGCTTTTGCGGATCTTTGCAGGCCAGCACACTCGCCTAGCTCTTCCCATTTGAGGCTTAGGTGCCGCCTGAGGGCATGGCGATGCGGCATCAAGGGTGAGGGCGCGCTGCTGGCCTCTAGGTATCTCGAGATTTTCAATCGCTTGGGCTCACCGGCATTGCCGGTTGGCATGTACAGAGATGCAGGGGTGCCGAAAGTTCAAGGGCTTGCCTCGGTCTTACAACCTAAGAGGACCTAAGAGCTTCTTGATGGTGTTGAGAAGCTGAAAGCCACTTCACTACTCTCATGTCTTGTATACGCAGTTTCTTCGCAGCAGAGTGCGCGTCTCGACACTGGAGAAGCCTGCTACGAATCTGCAGTTTCACCGACGGCATGTGTATCCAAACATGCAGTGATGTTTCACCTGCCAGCCAGCATGCACCAAACGGCATTTGCATGTTGCGTCCTCAAACCTCCGGATGCTTCAAAACGGCCTAAACGGGAGCCCGCTGTGGGTATTCGGCGAGTACACTGGAGATCGCGAAACGCTGCCTGCGACTTCGTTGTCGGCGCAGGCATTTGGTTTCACTGGGAAATGCATACGCGGAGACTGAGATTGGCCGCCATGGTGCGGCTCAACCCTAGCAGTCCTAGCAGCCCATCAACTAGACATTTCAACAAATTCAACACTGACACTTGAATTCGTTTGCTTGGCCTTCCGTGATGCCTTCCGCCAACTCCTCAGTTCGCTCGAGTGTTGAGGGACTGTTTTGGGGGAGAGCTCCGTCGGATCTCCCAGGAGCTGCTCTCAGCACTTTTCAAGCGCCGCTCCGATGTGGATTCTGCGGGGCAGCGGCTGCCTCAGAGACTCTCCGATGTCTGTGCTCCACGAGCCTTCGCTGAGGACCTGGGAATCCAGGCCCGCGGAGTCCTCAGCGGACGCTGGAGCGCCGCTCGGCGAGGATTCTTGCCGCCAGGGGAGTGCAGTTTGGAGGGGCTTGGCGGCTTGACCTTGGGCATACCCGTATTTGGCAGATGCCGGAGAGGCATGGCCAGCCTTGCACCTTCAGGTCACACCTTGCCGGTCTGACGTTCGATGCACCCTCAGCGCAGGCGGCAGGGTGGGTTTGTTTTTTTGGGTCAAAGTCAGAGTGCTTGTCTTCCTGACGGAACAATCATCCTCAGGAGTGGCTAAAGCAACTGGAGCCATCGCCGGGGCCTCGTCATGACTTCGATGGCAGCAAGCCGGCTGGGACTCGACAGGCCAGAAGAAGACCTATTGGCAGATGCCCTGGTTGAAGGTGCCGACGTTTATATGGTGGGGAGCACAGGGAGAAGAAATCCCTGCTGTCAGGACTGTCCGAGCGCCAGAAGGCTGCCCCTTCGCATCTTCCCCGTGCCGTGAAGCCGGAGGCCGGAAGCTGTGGCACGGGTCGGTTTGCCAGCTTGGAGAGCAGACAAGCACGCGGGCAACAGAGCCGCGAACTGGTGCACACACGTGTGATTCTCACGTGCCACTTTCGAGCGCATGATGTGCCCGGACGCAGAGGGGCGACCGGATGTCTGCAGACTTGCGAGTGTATACATGCAGCCCGATCTGCACCGACCCACCGACCTACCTAACCACCTAGCCACCCACCCGACCTACCTACCCACCCACGCAGTGTTCTCGTTCCTGATGATAGGTTTTGCAGGTCTCGAGAAAGTTGACAGATATCCACTCACAGCATTATCGTTTCTCAGCATTATCGTTTCTCAGTTTCTGATAATCGTGTTCGTGATTGATGTTGACAAATGTGGGCTATGTATTCGTCAAACAAGTGTCATGCTTTCAATGCCATGCCGTAATGCAGGTTCAGGGATTAACACACGACAGGGACCCGAAGGAAAGCTAGTGACAGCCACCGGGACGTTCATTCATGTATTGACTTGATTTTACATTGCAGTCCATCCTCAGCAATTCTTCTGAATCTTTTCCGTCTTAGGTTCTTAAGTTTCAATGTGTCGTAGGACGATGTTTTCATGTTTGTAGGCAGCTTTCTCCAAAGTCTTTGGACATCGTTCGACTTGTCACCCATTTGGGGTCTCAGTCACCCGCGTTTTACGGTTAGGGGCTTGGCACACAATAGCCTTCAGAGATTTGAGCTTAGGGTTCAACATCTTCTGATGCGGTTCTCGTTTTGAACGTGTTACGTTTTCGATCCAACATTTGCCACCCAAAAGTCTCTGTTGATGTCTCGCATCATTCCGTGTCGGGTTTCGGGTTTACCACGCAGTTGCTACGCGGCGTTTCTTATCAGACGTAGCGGGTGGTGCCAAGAACCACTGAGCGTTTTCTGGTTGAGCGGTTTGCCAGCCATCGCCACCTTTTCTGTGTGGCTTGGAGGTCAGGCCCATGGTCTTGTTTGAGATTGTCCAGACGTTTTGGGTTCAAGTCGAACATCTCCGATTGCGGTCTCATTGTGTGTTTGAGAACCAGCCACCCCGTCTAGGATGTAATGATTTCAGAACCACGCCCACACCCACCCCACACCACACCTCGACCCGGACCCTGACCCACACCTTTGGTGCTTTGTGGATTGTTATTGCAAGATATTGCAATGACCGCCCAAGACTACAAACCCCCCCCCTCAACCCATGCTCCATTGATGTACCTGCATACTGCAGAATGCGCTCAACAACAGCAGCTCACAAGGCAAGGTCCAAGATCTGAGGCGGGAGCTTGTCGTATTTTTCGGGTTAAATAGGGGTGTGGTGGATCAGTTTTCAACATGCATCCGTTAACCAGAAAATGCAGATGTTGTCCTGGAAAGCAATCTTTGTCTTGGTGCAAAGTTTGGGTTTTGATGAAGATCAGTCTTCCTAGCAGAAGTTGGTGTTTTCACGGTGTTTTCCTAGAAGAAAGCTTCTTGTTTGCAGCTAATTTTTGCAAAAGCTTATTTTCCTAGCAACCAAAAAACTTCCGCAAGAGTCGCAGTTCGAAAAAAGTTTGTGAGAGTGAATGCTTTTTGGTGTGGAGCGCGAGGACTGTTAAACTTTGAAGGCTTTCTCCTAGGACAAGTAGGTGTTGCCGCTGAAAAAAACAAATTGTTCAACAGGAGCCGTAAAATCATCAATGATGAAAACGACCTCTGTGGAGCTCGCGGGAGTTGTCGTGCACCAATTCACCTGAGTAGTAGTGACCAGGGTCGAACTCGTGTCTAGGACCTTATCTGGGCCTTTCACAACAGGAACAAGGGAGGGGAGGCCCACCACACGCGGCTGTACAAGGTTTTCATCCCGTTGAAAGGTCCCTCCCCCCCTTCGCTGCCGCGTCAATCTGTTTAAGCAACATGACCAGGAGTTGTGGGTTTGCGGTGCAGTTTGTTCAAGCTGCGGGTTATGTATATTTGCGCAGGTTTAGTGCGTCGACCTGGCAGGATTGCATCAAGCACCATCACAAGTGCATCGGTGTCGGCTGTCTACGCATGTTTGAGGTGTCGATTTGGTAGATTCACGCATCTATTTTTGCACGGCCGAGTGTGTGGATGTGGCTGGTTTCAAACATCGTTTTGCAGGTTACCAAGCACTATGGAACCCTGCCGAGCATGCCCGAAAGCGCTCTATCAAATCTGTCGGATTTGTTTGCCCTACCTTTCTTGGCCCTCTTCTCAAGTTAAGGTCTAGGTTAGGAAACAATCATCTGTGCAACAGCGATGACCTGCGGGGAGATGATTTACGCGGTGTTCGAAGTAGGTACTGGGAGCATGTATGTAACAGTATGTATGTATGTATGTATGCATGCACGTATGTATGTATGTATGTATGTATGTATGCATGTATGCATGTTTGTGATATATATATATATGGACGATCGACCAGCTGACACGGAAGCCCCACACACACAACCACTCGAATCATACAAAGGCACTGAAAATAGTGGGTTGCAAAAACGCAGGCCCCAGGGCCTGCATGCAGCATACATACGTACATATGCGTATGTGGCATGATGTAATCTAGTCAAGCCAAATATCATCGAATATACGATAACTTAGTATCACAAAATACAGCCTAACCTATTCTAATATAGTATCCAATCGTATCATATCATGTATTACAATAAATACTGCATAAAATTAGATCGTGCAGGAACCGTGAAAAAACCCTTGTCTTTAGAGAACTCCTTTAGGCAACCATGATCGATTCGTGCTTAGCAGAGTAATGTCGTGTGCTAGTGTCAAGATCTGGCTTTACTAGTAGCACAATGATGTCACGTTGATTGGACGACCCTACATACCCTAGGTGCCCTGTGCTCGAATCGAAAAAGGAGCTACTATTTGCAGTTGCGGCTCGGTGTACCTGTCGTTTGTTTCTAAATCAGACACTATTCGATATAATGCAAGACGATACAATACGATGCAGTATAGTGTAATGCAGTATAATATGATGCGATAGATCATGTTTTATCATGCGTATATGTCTGTCGATACACACATTTGATTCCATCTCTCTCTCTCTCTACATATGCATGCCGGTATGTCTGTCTGTCTGTCTGTCTGTCTGTATGTATGTATGTACGTATGTACGTATGCATAAATGAACATACATGCACACATACGTACATACATACATACGTACATACATGCAGACAGACAGACAGACAGCCAGGCAGGCAGGCAGGCAGGCAGGCAGGCAGACAGACAGATAGACAGAGAGAGAGAGAGAGAGAGAGCGAGAGAGCGAGAGAGAGAGAGATATTGTCGCATGTATGTGCGCCGCTTTTTTGACGTATCCAGTGTGCGTTACGTTGGGGAGACTCCTCTGTTGCAGGAATCCCAGCGCTTGAATGCCCTGGTCATGGAATTAGCCTCCCTGCAGGAACAGTTTTCCAAGGCAGGACATCCGAGCATTTCTTGCGGTTTGCGGATTGCTCACGGCACAGCAGTGTCACAGCAGTGTCGTTCCGAACTGTCTTCAGTAGAGCTTGCATTGACAAGTGCATTTGTTACCTGCTACCGCACCCCTCTACGCTTTAGCTTTCCTGGTCCGAACATGCCAGGAGCGAGAGCAACTTGGAGCAGAAAAGGAGGTGCCTGTTGATGTGCCAATTGAGCTCAGGAGGTCGATGATGAAAGGTCATGAGTAGTTTCGACTGTAGATTGTGCGAGCCTTCCGGGTGGACTCCGCTCGTCCATGCAATTTTGCCAGCTTTTCGTCCTGGAGCAGGAAGTCCGAGCAAAGGCCAAAGACCTTGAGAGAAGAGAGGCAGAGCTGGAGGCTTGCGCAGAGTAGCAGTCATGTCATGCAGCGGCCGATTCTGAGTTGAAGCAGGCCGAGAGACAGGCTCAGAGAAAGCGTGAAGAGGCGAGAAGGAATTATCCGCAGCCTGCGACTGCCCCGGAACAAACCCGTCCGCACCAGTACCCCCCCCAAACCCCCGTAAATACGAATGTGCATGCGCCTCCCCGCTACCTCTTGCCGAGGCATGGCTCGAGCGCCCGGCACGGTTCCCTCAGAGCACCCGCGGGCACTTCATGTGCTACCGCCTGTGGCCAGGAGAAGGTTGAGGATTGCATCAACATTGCAGTCGTGGGCAACTCTGGCGTTGGCAAGTCCCTTCTAATCAACAGGCACGGTCAGTGCCGGTGCTGGTGCTTCGGATACCGTTCGAGCACTGTCGAGTTGCTCGGAGGCTGCGGAAGCTGCGGCCGCAAGCAGAAGGATGGGCTGCCGTTGGGGTGAACGAGACGACGAGAGTGCCCACCATGCGCCAGTCTCAGAGGATTCTTCCAAGCCTTTTGTGCAGCATTTTTTTGTGTCCTGGAAGGTATCCGTATCCAAATCAGCACATACCTCAGAAATCGGGGACTGCATGTCAGCTCTTGAGCAGCTGTGGCCGAGTCCACTGGTCCGCCTCTGGGACTTTCCGGGCGCTGGAACAGCGGCCGTCCCTGCTGAGACGTATCTGCAGGATTTTCATGCCCTCGCTCTGCTGCCACTGGGCATGGTATGAAGGCCACAAGTTTACGTCCTGTAGGACATGGGGCTGCGATACTTCGACGAGGTGGTGGTGGTGACAGCTGGACGGTTCACCGAGATGGAGGCAGGGCGGAGGCTGGGGCATGTTGCACGGTTTGCAGCTGTAGGCGGTGGCAGCTCAGGAGGCACTCCGTGGTGAACTGGAGCGCCACGGAGTCCCGTATCGCATGGTTCGGACCAAGGCAGCTAAAGGCTTTTGCATTGCCGCCATCTTACAATCAGCCCGCCTGCTCAGGTGGATCAGGACATTGCCAACAACAAGGAGGAATCCCGTGCACATGGCGGTGGTGGTCTGAGGGTCCAAGCAGCTCAGATTCTCTGCCTCTGCAGCCCCAACAGGACAACTTTGTGGAGAAGCAGGAGACATTGAGGCAAATCAGAGAAGACTTGGAGAAAACCCACAAAGTGGAAACAACAAGCCGGATCCCAGGTCCTGGGTCTGTGGCGAGCGTTGCGAGGCTTTGCAGTGTGACCCAGGTCTTTACCTCGTGTCCTCCAGGGACCAAGATGACTTTGACATGCCGCCCGCCAAGACTCTGATCGCGACAGCATGCTTCATTCAATCAGAGCCTTCCGCCAAACGTCGCTTCACTGCCATGGACACGGAAGCCCAAAAAGCTCTCAAGCGTCGTGCAAAGGTATTGTAACTGCTTGTAGCTCTGAGCAAGTTTGGACGCTAGTAGGATGGCGCTTGTTCCCCTGGGCCTCTGTGGAATGCGGCGCCTCGCAACTGCCACGCAGAGCTCTGTGCCGTCGGGATCGTTGCTTTATCCAATGACGAACCTCTCATCCCTTCGGGGGAGACGCCTGGTCTGCAAGAAGCTGACAGCCGGTTCTCAGAGGGCGCCCTCAGGGACGTCTCCCGTCTGCCAGGCCAGCCCTTGCGCATCGTGGCGGGCAAGGGTGCTAAAGTCTACGATGATACAGGGAAGGAATACCTCGAAGAGCCCCGACGGCATGAGAAGCGACTTCCGGGCCTCATCTTTTTGCTGTTCGCCTTGCTCGAAGGCCATGGCCGGGCTGTGGTGCACAGCTCTCGGCTGGGGCCATGAAGAGTTGGTGGATGCAGCTACACGCCAGATGAGGCGCAGCCGGCTCACGACAAAATGTCAGAAAGCTTTGTGGGTAGTCGGAGCGTCGAGAAGCGGCCCAGGAACTTGTCCTACTACCACTGCTTCGCAGGCCGGCAAGTTCCCATCGCAGAGGACTCCTGTGAATGCCTCCGTGTCGGAGTGTGTGCGATGCAATAGAGTAGAGTCCTCGAGCTTCGGCATTTCAAGCGCTCGTGTCGACGATCCACTCGTAGGACTCCCTGCGCTGCAACGATGTAGCTGGTACTATGCAGTAGGGCGAAGTACTGCAACGAGCCATGCTCGGACACTCGGACTTCACTTTCGGCACCTCCACATGTATCGAATCGCCATGGATGCCTGAGACATGGACTTACATGGGGATTAATTGTCTTTTCGCGACAGACCGTGGGAAAGCTGGTTCCATGCACGCGTCCCCAAACGCGCCGGGTGGGGGGTTGGGTGAGATACCTTGCATGTTAGCCAAGGCCAGGTCAAGCACTGCTTCAGGAGCTCGCCGACAAGCTCATTAGCTTGGCTCCGGACACACTGCAGGGCGGCAAGGTGTTCTTCGGAATGTCCGGGTCGGATGCCAATGACACGCAGCTTGCAACGCACCGCAGAATCGGAGCGCACAGAGATGCACAGAGCGTAGTACCGGCGGTGTGGCCTGGCCTTGGACACACTCGAGGCAGGTCCGGCTGCTCTGGCACTACAACACCGTCAGAGGTTTGCCACAGAAGCGAAAGATCATCGGCAGAGTCCATGGCTACCATGGGGTCCCTTTTGGCAAGAGAGGAAGCACATGCCATGTGCAGTGGACCATCTTTACTTCGTCACGTGCGAATCTGTCAGCACAATCGGGCCATGGGCACATTTCGGCTTGCAGCTGAGGTCACCGTTGCCAGTGGTTCTATCACCGGCCTCCCGCACGTCCACGCGCAGATGGGGCTTCCGCTCGACTTTGTGCGGCACGTCAGCTGCCCCTCCTTCTATCGCCGCTCGCCTGGTGAGGGGAGGAAGTTCGGAGCCCGTGAGTGCCCGTGAGGCTACGGCCGAGACGGCGAGTCGGAGGCAGAGTTCGTGCGACGCCTGGCCGCGGAGCTCGAGGAGTTGATCCTCGCAGAGGGACCCGACCAGGCCGGAGTCCTGTGATAGACTACTGATGGGCAGCCGCTGTTCCCCGGAAGGTCGCCGCCTTCTTCGCTGAGCCCTTGCAAGGGGCCGGAGGTGTGATACTGCCGCACCTTGCCGCACAATGGACTCCGGCCATATTCGCCGGGTTTGAAACGCTGCAGAGGCCTTCCGGTTACTTTCCGGCCATGCGAGAGGTCTGCGACAGGCGGGTGCAGGATCACTAAAGTGGGGCGGAAGCACAGAGCTTGCTCAAGCCTCAAGTCAAGCTTTCAGGTACGACGTCATGGTGGTGGGTGACGAAGTCATCACCGGCTTTGGCCGAACCGGCAAAATGTGGGGCTGTACTGCCTTTCAGCAAACCGTGGATTTGCTGAGCTGTGCCAAGCAGCTTACCTCAGGGTATGTGCCACTCAGTGTGACTCGGACTGGAACGAGATTCCTTGCACGTCGCTAAGCTGCCGCTCTCTTCGGAGCGTGAGCTTGTGGTGAGGCTGCCATCCTCCCGCGTTTCATGTACGATGCGATCGAAGCCTCCACGGAGCGTCGAGGCAGAAAGGGCCAAGGCTGAGACGGACTCTCGCTGGAGACTCGCAGGCGGAGTCTTCGGGCACGGCTACACCTACACGGGGCATCCCGTGTCCTGTGCAGGCCGGGCGCGGAGCACAGTCGCGGCACTGAGAGTCAGTCCCTGGCACGGCAGTTGCACTGAAGCTGCTCGAGATTTACGAGCGGGAACAACTGCTGGAGCAGCCTGGCAGAAGGGTCTGCTTGTATCTCGCACGTCTCATGTTGATGCTAAGCGGACTAGGCGGGTGGCGCAGCTAGCCCCTCAATTCCAGCGGCGCCTCAGTGGTCTTGGAGAGCAACTTACAAGCATGGAAAGATTGCTCCGACAAGGGCAAGGTCCGGACTTGCCTTGACCCAGGCACCCCTTGGTCGGCGATGCACGAGGGATCGGTGTCGCGGTCGCATCCGTGAAGGCGTTTCCGACATGACCTCTCAGTCAATTTGCAAGGCCTCATCGGTGCCATTGAGCTCGTGAAGGAGAAGGAAACCAAGCAGCCTTTCGATGCCAGCCGCATCTTGGCAGATCCCTCAACGACGATTTTCGGTTTGCAGATTCTCACATCTCAGGCGCCATGGCGGCCAAAGTCGTGCAGTTCGCTTTGGAGCGTGGGCTCATTGTGCGGGTGCTTCCCAATGATGTTGTATCCATTTGCCCCCCTCTGATTGTGGCCGCCTCAGAAGGGATTCAAGCGCCAGGGCAATTTGCTCGAAAATTCGCGAGCTTTGCGGCACCTGAGGTGAGCTCTGCAGAGGTCGATGAGATCTTTGATCGTTTGGAGGGCGCACTTTCAGATGCGCTTGCGGTGATGTAGCAGACATGCACAGTGCCGTCTCCTGACATCAGGGACATCACGCAGGAGGAGCGTCGCAGCAACAAAGTCTTTTGTGTTTCCGTCAGCTGCCAAAGAGCACTGAAGAGCAATAAGCCGCTCTGTTTCCGATTTAATGGCGTTTCGTTCTGGCGAGGGCCGGAAACACATGGAAACACGTGTAAGCGGCAAACATGAGCAGGAAAAAGAACCTGAATGGAAGCCTGCTGCAGTTGCGTCTGCAGTCTTGGCAGAGGTACAGCAGGCACACCGCAACAATCTTCCACTGAGGCCTCGTCTTCTGGCAGATCTTTTTCCGGGCCTGAAGCGTCAGCACAGGATCTCAGAATCTCTACTTCCTGGTCATGTCTTCCGCAGCTTGAACATTACCCACTGTGCATCCGAGGTTGGATCCAGACGCGCCTGTCTTCTGCCCTGCTGGCACTACGCAAGCAGCGCAGGCAGAGCGGTGCTGGATTCGGCTGGATTCTCAAGGCTCTGTAAAGATGAAGTCCAGGTTCACAGCGCTCCATCGGCTTGGACTGACGCCTGGGCTTTGCCGTGTTGGCCTTACCCGTTTCAACTCTGTCCCAGTGCCTGTCAGACTTTCCTCTTGTGTTGGTTGTGCTATGCAGCAAGTGATAGGCGCAGTGAGATGCGAAGCTTGGCTCAACGCTGAGGCCGGCGCTCTCTGTAGCACTCTCGGGCCTGCAGGGCGGTTGGTGCGATGCGTACCGCTGCATCTATCTGGTTCTTAGCTTACCTCTTCTTGACTTTGTTGGCAAGCTCCACTTTCCTCTGCACTCGGCTGCTCCCGAGGTGCAGAACGACCGCTGCCACATCACGCTGAGCTCGGGTCATCATACAGTGGTACCACTGTCACAAGATACTCGGGCCGTGTGGTGGATGCAGACTCTTCGTCAGCATTGGGAGTGGCTCAATTGGCCTTGGCTTGGGGCAGTCCTGAACCAGTCTGAGCTGAAGCCTAGGCGCTGGTACGTGGATGAGGAGGCTCAGTCATCCTGCAGATTTCAGTCAAAATGCTGTGCCCTGGGAGGCAGTCCTCAAGGCCAGAAGAAAAGGAGAACTCCGATGGAAGCCGACCAATTCGCAAGATCAACCTTTGGTGTGGACCGAGCCTCAAGACGTCTCAAGACTTGCGAGATTTCAGCTTCGGCATGGTTTCAATTCGGTCATCATCAGGAGAAATGAGACTGTGGGCTAGCGGCTACACAATTTACCAAGCAGAGTGTCGAATGTGCTGCATTCAACGACCTGTCAACAATGTGTCAGCCTTCAATAACAAACCTATCCATGTCGGCCGTGAGGTGGTACTACTGCCAATAAACACAGCGTTGCCAACTTGCTGAGCTTCGAGCGTTGCATCTACAAGCAGCGTTGCACGCTGAGCTGCGCCGCCAGTCGTGCACAGGGAGGATCTGCTCGATCGTCCCCAAAAGTGGGAACTCGATTTGCATTTTAGCTGCAGCCTCATCTCTTCCAGCTCGTACCTGGGAATCCGCAGTTGGTCGTCTGACTGAGCTGAAACCGACATAATCTGCTGTTGCGCAGTAATGCGCTGGAGGAAGATGACAGGACGACGATGCACACACTTCCCGTTTGAACGCCGTGACTTCCGTGTCGAAGCCTGCAGCAACAAGTATGCCAGCGAGCTGAGCTGTTTCTTGACCTCCTCTACCGGTCAGACGAGCTTGGAGTGGTGGATGCGCAGTGCTTGCAAGACATGCGCTTCTCGGGCCAAGACAGGAATAGCCTGCACTAATCCTTGCCGGTACACCTTGTCATAGCCCCATCAGGACCCGACCTGAAGCCCTAGTGTCTGCCGGTGCTGGATGCAAGCATGTTCCGAGCTATTGCCGCGCCGCTCCGGCATGTGTCGATGTCTTGAAGACCTTGTCCACGGCCTTATCGAAGCACTTGTTCAGCTCGAGCTACTTCCGTTGCCAGGATGCAACTCGAGCAAGGCTGGCATAGTGTCGCCAATGGAAGCCTGAGGAGGTTTCAGCCGTCGGAACCCTCCAGGTTTGGAGTTTGACGATGAGTTCCCGTTGGATGACCACTTCGAGGCAAAATGCAACTTCAATTGCATGAACAAGTGTTGTGTAGTCGCCTTGTGAACACCTGGGGTCTCCAGCCAATGTCGTCTCCGCGGCCGACGGGTCAGAATGCCGGAGGAAGGACGCAAGCATACGCAAGCAACTAATTTCACGAATGCTGTGGAATCATCGAACGCTTCCGCCGGCAGCAGCCATGAAGTTCCTCTTAGTAGCGACTTCGATTTCCTGCGCCGTTGCCTGGGCCCCAGACCAAAGAGGCGCCTTTCGCAGTCTTCCTTTCCTGCCGAGGCAATACCCCGGCTTGAGATTGTCAATGGGTGTCCTCACGAGACGATTTGGATTGCGCACTTGGCCGCCGCAGGGTTTCCAAGAGCCAAGTCAAAGCGCATGCGTATGAGATTTCAGAGACGTCTGAGAGTCACCGAGGCAGGCCCTGGGCTCCGCGCTCAGGGGCTGAGGTTCCCCGGCTTGGAGTTGCTTTGAGAGACCGAGGCCTGGCCCAATCAACCACGCCATTCCGCCCTTAGGCCCCGGGTGTTCGGGCGAGGGACTTGACAGCTGGGCCATCTCGCAAGTCTGCTTCTCTCAGATTGAGTTGCAGGCAACATGATCTTCGATGAGACTGAGACGGACCAGGTTGCTTCAGCACGCTATTGGCCAAAGATGGGCTGCGATCAAAATGGGAGCACGGCTCAGCATTGGCGGTGCTCGGCCATCCTGAAATCCATGAGTCGCAATCATTGACTCTGTGAGGCAGAACTGTTTGCTGGGTGGTTCGGGCGGTCCTGGGCAGCACTGCGTTACAACCTCAGCCCGAATGTGATTGCTATTTGCTTAGCTTATTGCGGGCCCGTGGATGACAGAACGAGCTCGACCCCGACTACTCCAAGTGCCAGCCTCCAATCGACACCAAGTTCGAGGCGCATGTGTCCAAATTGAAATCCGAGTGAGCGAAGCGAGCGCTCTTCAGGCCACTTGGGGAAAGAAGGCGAGGATTCGTCTTGGCAGAATCAATGGCAATGATGCTCCCTGCAGGGCCAGCCGTGCAATCCTGCCAATCCTGGCCAAATGGCCAAACCCTCGGTCGCTGTGCCAATGAGCGCGGACACGGCAGGTGCATGTCTCCGCAGGTTTTTGTTTTGTTTCTCTCGAGCGTTCACTCGAGGCATTTTGCCTCTCGTAGAGAATCGCGCAGAGTAGCCATGGAGGACAGCTCCAATCCAGTCTCGCTGGACTTGGCAGCGTCGGTGAGCCTCCCCATGGATGTGGAGGCCGTGGCAGCCACACAGCTGGAGCCGGCCACGCAGCTGGACCCTGCCACTCCTCCTGAGGAGGCTTTGACGGCGACCCTGAGGGAGGAGGCACCGGTAGTAACCCCAATAAAGAAGCGGAGGCAGTCCCATGAGGCCCTGCTGTCTCCAGCGAAGACGTCTCCGGCAGCCTCCGCCTCGTCGTCCTGGGCCCTGGTGAAGGAGGATCCCTATATGGCATCTCCAG